TCAAAGTCCTTTGCTGAAGTCGAGGTACATGCCCTTAAATCTGGGATCTTGGTGTTCACTTATCAGGTCTCACACAGGGTTCGTGAACATGAGCTGCCAAGGTTCTCTAGTACACATGCTAGTCATTTGTTCAGTTTTAAATAGGGAGATCTAACTATTTCCAAGTTTCTGGAACATCCCAATGAGGAGGCAAGAGCAGGAAGCTGCACGTTCCTCGGGGACCACTGAAATCACAGAAGTGGGCCCAAATAGGACACTTCTGAACTTGGGCTAGACTCTAGAGTTACAAGCAGCAGAACAATGTGTGCTAGAGCTAACAACTCACTCTTTGCATCTAGTACTGCCAAAAACAAAATACTACTCGCTACCCCTTCTCCTAAGAAAGGCAACACACAGTTCTGGGCTTTTAAGAAACGTGCCATCAGCTTTATTAAGTCCTGTTTCCAAACTGCAGACCATTATGGGCTTAGTTTAATGATTACATTTAATTCCATCCAGCTCCTCCGTAGGGGTCAACAGTAGCTTAACTTAATTAAAATAAGCCTTCAGTGAGCACACACAAGACACCAGGCCCTTCATTCATGTATCCTCCACCTACTCAGCTGTTTCCTGAGCACTAGCTGCCTTTGGAAGTCTGCAGTCCAGCGAGCAGTGAGTCTTGGGCCAGGCACAGCCAAGGTATTCGTCCCTTTCACTCGGAGCCAACTTGAAGTTCTGGCCTTCGCAGGCTCCCAGGGCATCCCTCTACTACTCAGGCAACCTCAGTTCTCGCTTTACTGAGTTCACTACACAGCGCCATATTTCCTACCTTTTACCTCCAGATATTTCCGTATAGACAGCCATCTTCTCTTTTGGTTTCCGAGAAAAAAAGCCCTCTAAGGTTAAGCTTTTCCCACAGTGCTATGGATTCTATCATTTCTCCTGTGTTCCTCAGAATATTTTTCCATCAAGCATTCTTTTTTCTATCTTTATCCCTTTACCAGGTACTTCAAGTTTTTCCGACCGTGAAGAAACATACAGAGGTTTATACCTATCTTGAATGATTTCTCCCCTTTCTACTCTTCCCAAATATTCCCACGAGAACCCTGCCACCACCACTTTAACTCCTCAGAATCTACCACCTACCTGAACCTACCCCATAATCTGGTGTCTTATCCACAGAATTACTAAAGCTTTTCTAAAACCAAAAATGATCCCTAGGCCTTTAATCCAACGATCTTTTCCATGGTGTTGCTCTTCAATGGTCTCTTTGAATCCATCAGCTGAAACTGTTTATTATCAACCTTTAAAATAATCTCTAATCTCTTTTCATTTTTCTTTCTTTCTTGTTTTATGAGTTGGGTCTCACTCTGTCACCCAGGCTGGAGTGTGGTGGCACGAGCACAGCTCACCACAGCTTAGGCCTCCTGGGCTCAGGCAATTCTTCCGCTTCAGCCTCCCAAGTAACTGGGACTACAGGTGTACACCAGCACACGTGGATAATTTTTTTTTTTTTTTTTTGTACAGCTGAGGTCTCCCTATATTGCCTAGTCTGGTCTTGAGCTCTTGGGCTCAAACACTCCTCCTGCCTCGGCCTCCTAAAGGGCTGGGATAACAGGCATAAACCACCATGCCCGGCCTCTTTTCATTTTCATGAAGCCACACTACATTGTTTGCGTTTTAGACTCTCTGATTTCTCTAATTTTGTCTATGTTGGTTCCTGATGTTTTATTCTCACTTGCTAATTGGTAACCTAAAGCAGTAGCTTTCAGCTTTTTGTGGTGATGGTTGTTATGACAAGCAATGTTCACGGAAAAGAGAGACTTCTTTCCCTCCCTGTTCTTGTCCACCACTGGGATCGAATAATTCATCCAATTTATCAGCTTCAAGGACCAAAATTTTCTTTTTTTTAACCAGAGGAGTCTTGCATTTTCTGTCATTCCTATAAGCCTATCCTAGAGCCAGGCCTGGCTCTCTTGACTCTTCCTTTATTCAGGAACCAAGTGGGTCTCCTGCATCTGCTATCTCAGGCAGCTGGAAATTCACATCTCAACAGTTGGCTTTGGGTTTAGCTGAAGAGTCTTGAGCTTAAGCAAGTTTACCAGGGCTATACCTTGGAGTAACAGGCCCGTGTCTAGTTGATAATAAAAGAGTATTTTACTTTTCATATGCCACTGTCTTCATACATATATCTCCTTTAGAGCCTCCTGGAGAAGAAAACCTGTGGTTTAAAGGAGAATTTGTACACTCCTGAAACGTCAGGCCATAATGATATCTTTTTTCTCCTCTTAACTAGATTTTTTAAATTTGTCAACTAACACTTGCTTCTTGTAACGTCAGATAATATAGAACTATATAGAGAAAAAGTTTTAAAAAACTTTTGTTCCCTTCTTCATATTACAAACTTCACTAAAGCCATCAAGACTTAAGAGCTTATGTATCATACCTTTATTTAAAAATATCAATAAATCTACATATGTGAGATAAATGTTTAAACAAAATTGGGATCATATCTTACTGTTTTTTATTGCCACTTGCCATATTTCCGTATGTCACTCTGTTTTCACTTCTATCTCACAACAAGCCATGGGCAGCCTTCCGGGTCAACATATGTGGATGCAACTGGTTCTTTTCATTACCTAAGACCTGTAATAGTAAGATCCTTTCCCCCTCATGCCTATAATCTCATAGTAACCTTCTGCCGATCTCCTTGCCTCCATTCTCTTATGAGAACCACAGAACATAGGAATATTAAAAATCAAAAATCAAACAGCAATGTATTTCTGATGAAAAAACTGGTATCGCTGGATAAAAAATGTGGTACATATACAGGATGGAATATTATGCAGCCATAAATAAGGACAAAATTATGAACTCTGCAGCAACTTGAATGGACTTTGAGGCTATAATACTGAATGATCTATCACAGAAACAAAGAAAAGTGTCACATGTTCTCACTCAAAAGCGAACCTTGAACAACTACTGTAATACTATAAGAAAGGGATCGGCAGTAGTGGGAGACTGCCAAGGGAGGGTGGGGGAGGGATTGGCAGTAGTGGGAAACTGCCAGGGGAAATGGGGCACACCTTATCAACAAGGGTACCTGCATAATGAACATTCATATACCTAATCCTGAATTGTACTCCGTGTATTTAAAATTAAAAATTTTTTTAAAACTGGTATATCAAAAGATTAACCAACTTGTCCAAGAATAATACATTAGTGGGAAAGATAGCTATTGATTAACTCAACAAATATTTGTGCAGCATCTAACATGTGGATCTGGTATTGCAAAACTTATATTCCAGAAAGAGACATGTAAAAAGCAAGGATACAAATAAACATGAAAAATAGCGGGAGTGATTAGAACCGAGAAGGAAAAAACAGGATAAAATAACATGCTACTTTAGATAGTATGCATGTGAAAACATCTTAGAGTACATGACATCTAACCTTTTACCTAAACAATAATGAGAGAACAAAAAAATGCAAGAAAAAGGTGAGGCAAAAATACTCCAGGGAAAAAACAAAAACGGTAAAAACACAGAGGAAACCAGTGTTCCCGGTGTGCACCGAGGTTCTCTGGCAAGAAGAGCTGCAGGAAATGATGTCCAAAAAGTCGGCAGGGAGCAGATCACACAAAGCACTGGGGGAGGAGCAAGGAGCTTGGACTGAGAACTCTTCAAGGATTTTCAGTAAGGAGTAACATGATCAGATCTACATTTTAAAAGCTATATTTTTTACACTGTAAAAAAAGGGATTACTCAGCCTCTAGATCAAGAAAGGATAGAAAGAAATCAAGAATGGAACAGGGCTATCACTGCAGGAGCAGACGTAAGTAATGGCAGTGGCTTCGATTAGGGTATTAACAAGCCAGTAGAGAGATGGGGACAGATTTGACAAACATTCGGAAGAGAATTTCAATCAACTTGCTGATGAAATGGGTGGGGGTCTGAGAAAAAGGGGAGTGCCAAGGATGAATATTAAGTATTTACTGGTAAAACTGGTACCTGTGGTGATTTTCTGTGATGGAACAAAATAGGGAACATCATCATCACAAGTTCTGATTCAGACAAGTTAAGATGCTTACTAGACTTCTACACGGGATGCTAATTAGGTAGATGGAAACAAATGCGACGCACAGGGGAGAACAAATTGTAAATTTACAAGTCATCAGCACATCCATGGTATTTAAAGCCATGAAACCAGAGACGCTCACTGAGGGTAACAGTGTGGCAGAGAACTCAGGAGGTAGGTTAGGGGCCCCTGAACACACAGAGGTCCTTGGTGTGCGCTAGGTGGGAGGGGAGCCGGGATATGTGACTGAAAAGGTGCAGCCAGGGAGGCAGGAGTGAAATCACAAGCATGTGGTGCTCTGGAAACAGCACATGAAAAAAGTTTTAGGAAGGAGGCCGGGGTCAACTGTCAAACGCTAAAGACTGGTTAAGTCACACAAATACTAAATACTGACCATTCAATCTGGCATGCTGAACACTTTGACAAGAAAGGTAGGTAGGAAACAGGTAGGAGAAGAGAGAGAGGAATAGAAACCAGCCTGCAATAGGCTGTTTTAGGAGGCCAGATGTAGAGAAAGTATTGACAGTTTTTACTTTTTAGAGACGTGTCACAGCGAAGTCGAGCAGACAGTACAGAGAGTTCTCATGTATCTTCCAGCCCACATATGAACAGCCTACCCTACAGGGGCGCATGGGATACAGATAATGAACCTGCACTGACACATCATTATCACCTGAAGTCCACAGTTTACACGAGGCCTCCCTCTTGGAACCAACTGTGTGTTCTGTGGGTTTGGACAGATGGCAAGGAGGACCGTACAGAGCAGCTACACTACCCGAAGAATCCTCCGTGTTGCGGCTATTCATCCCCCTCAGCAACCACTTAGTCTTCTGCTGTCTCCACAGTTCTGTCTTTTCCAGAACATCAGACAGTCAGAGTCACAGCCTTTATGGACGGGTTTCTTTGACTCAGCGATACACATGTACGTTTCCTCCATGTCTTACCATGGCTTAACAGTTCATTTCCCTTTCGTGCTGAGTAACATTCCATCGTCCGAATGTCCCACAGTCTATCGATCCATTCACCCGCAGAAGGACATGCTGGGCAATCGTGAATAACGCTGCCATACATACCCACATGTAGGTTTTGGTGGAATATAGTTTGCAACTGATCTGGGTGAATACCAAGGGGTGTGGCTGCCAGATTTTATTGTAAGAGTATGTTTAGTTTTGTAAGAAACTGCCAAACTGTACCCCAAAGTGGCTGCCCCGATTTGCATTCCCACCCTGCGCGAAAGAGAATTTCTGTTGCTTCACTTCCTTGCCAGCATTTGGTGCTGTTAGTGATTTGGCTTTTGGTCATTTTAATAGGTGTATAGTGGTATCTCCTTATGGGTTTGATTTGCAGTACCCTAGTTATATGTGATGCTGGATGTCTTTTGATAGGCTTACTCGTCATCTGTGCATCTTCCTTGCGGTAGTATCTACACAGGTCTTTTGGCCATTTTTCAATCTTTTCTTTTAACGTTGAGTTTTAAGAGGTCATTGGATATTTTGGGTAACCGTGCTTTATTAGATATGTATTTTGCAAGTATTTTCTCCCAATCTGTGGTTTATCTTCTCAATCTCCTATGATTGTCTTTTGCAGAGCAGAGCTTCACAATTTTAATGAATTCCAGCTTAGCGATTATTTAATTTATGGATTATACCTTTGGTGTTGTTTCTAAAAAGTTATCACCTACCCAGGGTCCCCTAGCATTTATCCTAGGCTGTCTTCTATAAGACTTATGGTTTTGCATTTTACATTTAGGGTTAGGATCCATTTTGAGCTATTTCTTGTGAAGAGTGTAATATCTGTGTCTAGATGCATGCTTTTCAAATAGATGTCTAATCATTCTAGCACCATTAGTTGAAAAGACTCTTTCCTTCATTGTATTGACTTTATTCCTTTGCTAAAGATCAGTCAACTCTACACACACAAACATACACACACACGTACGGGGGGTCTCTTTCAGGGCTCTCAAATTCTGTTCCATTGATATATTTGTCTATTCTTTCAACAATACCACTCTGTCTTGAGTGGTACTGTAGTTTTATAACAAGTCTTAAAATCAGGAACTGTCAATCCTATGACTCTGTTTTCTTTCAATAGAGTTGGTTATTCTAGTTCTTTTTGCCTTTCCATATAAAGATTAGAACCAGTTTGCTGATATACACAAGATAATTTGCTGGGATTTTGATTGGGATTATACTGAATCTATAGATCCAGTTGAGAAGTGACATCTTAAAAATATTGTGTCTTTCTATTCATAAATATGGACTATTTCTTCATTTATTTTGTTCTTTGACATCTTTCATCAAAGTTTCATAGTTTTCCTTGGATCATGTACATATTTTGTTGGATTTACCTAGGTATTTCAAATTTTGGGGGGTGCTAATGTAAAGGGCAATGTGTTCTAATTTCAAATTCCAATTTTTCATTGCTGACATACATCAGTGTGACTGGACTTTTAAACATTTTAATTTTTAAAAATGTATAAATGTATGAGGCTGCAGTGTAATTTTGTTACGTGCATAGACTGCGTGGTAGTGACTGACATTTATATACTAACCTTGTATCCTGTAACCTTTCTATAATTGCTTATTAGTTCTAGGAGGTTTTTTTTGTTTTATTTTTGTCACCTCTTAGATTTTCTACATGGGCAATGATGTCATTTGCGAACAAAGGCATTTTTATTTCTTTCTTTCCAGTCAGTATGCCTTTTATTTCCTTTTCTTATTTCATAGCATTTGCTAGAAATTCCAATGTTGAAAAGGGATGGTGAGAGGAGACATCCTTGTCTTGTTTCTAATCTTAGCAGAAAGGTTCAAGCTTCTCTTCATTAAGTAAGATGTTAGCTGTATGGTTTTTGTAGGTATGTGGCAGGGAGCTTTTAGAAAATGCTTCAAAACATATATCACAATTAAAATGTTCCAGTTTGATAATGCAAAATGCCATGCTCAGTGCCTGCAGCTAAAACCATAAGCCTCTTTTGTAATGCCCTGCTCAGTGCCTGCAGCCAAAACCATAGGCTTGTGCTATTGTTACCAAAAGTACAAAACCTTACACTGTGAAAAGTCCCTTCCCCCCAAAGCCCATGTAAAACCTATATAAGCTGAGACTCGACTGCGATTGGCGCCCAGCCTTTGCAACTGGAGTCCGCTGGGCCGAATGCCGGCATTCCAGTAATAAATGCTTATCAGCCTCAGTGTCACGGTCTTTCTGATTTGTTTTCCTGCAACATTTCTTGGTGTGTTGGCCCAGAAAGCGGAGAATTCAGAGGCCGTGTTTTCCACCTCCCTTGTCACCGGGATACGACCTCTGGGGCAAAGGGAGAGGCTACCTCGCCTGACGCCAACAGACCAGTTGATCTGTAGGGGAGAAGCCCCCTGGCATCCTGGGGCAAGGATACCGAAAGCACAAGAGAATCCAGTGAGGCACAGGAACCAGCATAAGGAGCAACACCTGATGGAAAGGGTAGGAACTGGGGTTACGTGGAACAGACCTGTCCTTAAGAGACTGAAGGGGAGCCTGATCAACTCCTGGAGTCCGCTAGTAGTCTCAAACCTGAAGGAAAGGGTTAGAGGCAGTGGAAGGAAACACTGTAGATTCCAAGGTCCTGGGTGGAGGATTGGAATTGTTGTGCAATTGTGTATAAATGAGACAGACAGTGGAAGTGTTCCGACCCAACCAAAGGGCCAGAATGAATGTTGAGTCCTAATCTAAACCAGTGGTAACCTCATACAGCTGAAGGTGGTCCCAGACCCATAATAGGGTTGGTCCAGGTTGGGGGTTTATACCAACCCACCGATTGCTAAGAGGTGTCTGAAATATCTCCACAAGGAATACGGCTGGAGACAGATGAAATAATTGTTCCCCTTGCCTCTTTTTCCTCTTTCTATGTACCTGGTGTCTTTTAGGGAGAGGAAAATGGGTAAAACACAAAATAAAAACATCCCCCTTGAATGTATGTTGAAAAATTTTTGGCAAGGTTACTCAGGAGACTGTGGTGTGAAACTGACTCAGAGAAAGCTCCAAACATTATGTAAAACAGACTGGTCTCCTTGCTGGGTGAAATGGCCCACAGAAGGGTCACTAGATAAAAGAAGAGTTGTTAAGGTATTCAGAACCATCATAGGAAACCCAGGTCCTGGCCGCCCTAATCAGTCCCATACCTTGACTACTGGCAAGATGCAGTCCTTGCTCGTCCGTCTTGGTTGAAAGTTTGCTGGGAAAAAACCTGCAAAATTCTGACGGCACTTAAGTTGGCTCCTTCCAAGTGCCTGCCCGAACCAAACAAGCCCGTTCTGGCTAATGAAACAGAAGGAGACACACCAGCTCCTCACCCACTTTTGAAAGGCTGAATACAAGGTCTCAAAGAGAAAGGTTCAAATCCACCAAGAGAAGGTTAGGTATCTCGGTTTCCACCTGTCTCAAGGGCAATGCCAGCTTGGCCCAGAAAAAAAAAAAAATCAAACCATCTGCTCAATCCTGATCCCATTCTCCCAACGTCAAGTCTGGGAATTTCTCAGAGCCACAGGATTCTGTAGAATCTGGATACCTAACTTCTCTATTTTAGCAAAGCCCCTTTATGACGCCACAAAGTGGGGAGAATGGGAGCCCCTGCTTTAGAAACAAGCCCAACAAAGGGCCTTTGAAAAAATTAAGCAGGCTCTCATCAACACGCCTGGCTTAAAGTTCCCAAACGTAACCAAGCCCTTCTTTTCATATGCGCATAAGCGCTCTGGCATAGCAATAGGGCTACTAACTCAGATATTAAGGTCATGGCACAGACCCACAGCATACTTGTCAAAGCAACTGAACTCAGTCACTCAAGGTTGGCTACCTTGTTTGCAAGCACTTGCGGCTACAGCCCTTCTGGTGGCAAAAGCTGACAAACTAACTATGGGACCCCAAAAGTCACTTGGGTTACAGAAGCTCGAGCAGTACCACAAAACCCTCTCAGAAGGCATGAAGAAAAAAAGGGGGAAAGCCCATGAACACAAGCAAAATCTCAAAAGTGCTCCAAGGATCCGATAAGAGCCCAAGCCAATTCGGCGAAAAACTTGGCAAGGCCTTCAGACTGTACACTCCCTTTGACACGGAAGCAGCTAAAAGTCAGTGGATGGTAAATGCGGTCTTTGTCGGACAAGCCCAAGGAGACATCCAACGCAAACTACACAACGGACAAGCCCAAGGAGACATCCAACGCAAACTACACAAGTTAGAGGGCTTTGCTGAAATGAACACCAGTCAGCTGCTGGAAATTACAACAAAAGTGTTTGTCAACCAAGACCAGGAAGCCCAACAAGAAACAGACCGAAGACTGAAGACAAAGCTAACTTTTCCTGCCGCAGCCATGTTAGGATACCCGGTACCTGTCCAACATGGACAAGCCTGAGGCCAAGGCCAGGGTCAGGGCAGAGGCCAACCTGACGGCCACCCAGAGATGATGCCGGGACCGGACCAGCACGTTAACAGGCTACCCTACTCTAACCAGAAACTGGGGAAAAAAATCAATGCCTGCATTTGTGCCCGAAATAACACAATTATTGGCCAAATGGCTAAAAATTACCTGAAAATTGCACACAACCTACTGGTTGCAAAGTTCAAAAAGAGTAAAACAAATAAATCAGACATTAAAATTGCAAATAAGCAAGCTATGCCAAGAAACTCACTTAAGCTGGGGCCCGCTCTTGCCAAGAGTCCTATTAAAAATTAGATCTAGCCCGACCAAGCAGACAGGCTACTCTCCTTTTAAGATCCTTTATGGAAGGCCACCCCCTCTTGTCAAAAATACACAAGGGAACTTCAAAAAGTTAGAAAACATCAGCTAAAGGCAGCAACTGCAGGCTCTAGGTACAGCCTTAAATACCTTGCATCACCAAATCAAAGAAGGGTTGCCAATACATTTAACCACAAACGCACACTCCTTAACCCAGGAGACATGGTATAAATAAAGAAATGGAA